CCGCAGATTCGCTGCTGCAGCAGTGGGTCTGCAGCCGTGCCCTTCTTAGCGTGACAGCGTGACGTCCCGAAGGTCCGCTCACCTGTTCACCGCTCAGACGTCCTGACCTTCTACCTTCCTAGATCGTCCAGCTGTAACCTGTTTCTGATCATGTCTTTAGCCCCGCTGTAACACTGATGCATCAGTCTCAGACGTCATGGAGCTCAGGTGTTATTAGAACTACCTGTGTGTGTTTACCACCCAGCTTCAGCTCTTCTGTGGTTGGGTCTGACCCAAGTTAGTAAATGTAAGTCCTCCATCAGGCTTGTGCCTCTTCTAGTGTCATTTTAAAGGATTTTATTTATTTATGTAACCATTACTAGATTAGCAGCAACAGAAATGCTACTAATAAAAACAATTATGTGAAGCTGGAAAAATTTAAATACTGACCAAAATCACATTCATTTCTGTAATTTAACTAGACTGAGAGACCATTTAAAGGCTTGGGAACCTTTAGAGATGTTTCTATTTGCAATTTTTAATTTTAGCTGATTGGGGTCTTGTTAAATATCACACAGTGACCTTTTAATAGTCTAGATAAGTGTAATGTTCCTGTTAGTAGTTCCTCCTGTTAAGTGCTTATTTATTTAAATTATTCAGGTTTATAAAAACATTTGGACATACATTTTATTATGTTCCAGTCATTAGTCATTTATATTTCACTATTGTAGTCATTTATAGTAAATGAAGTAAGTTCAATTAACACATTTTTCTTGCATTCTTTAATGAAAAAATTAACTAAGTAGTTATTTTTCTTGGTAATTAGTTACTTTTATAATGTCGTAACTCAGTTAGTAACTGAGTGACTTTTTTGACAAAGTAATTAGTAACTATAACTAATTACTTTTTTAAAGTAACTTTCCCAACACTGGCCATAATTCTGACTGCTTCATCTCATCACCTCAGGCACCGTCAACACCGCTTCAAAGTCGCCATAACTCTCTGGATCTCTCTGGACTACGTCCCTACCTCCTCCACCGACCGACCGACCGACTCCCTCTCTCCGGTCTCTCACCTCTCCTGTTGGGCTCGCCGCCTCGGCTCGCCGCCTCTCCCACGCTCACCAAGGTCACGTTCCCAGTAAGTCCCGAACATCCAAACCCCCCCAAGCTTTGTCACCTCCCAGAACTCACCTGTCTCTCTCCTCCTCAGACTCCCTCCAGACTCACTCTGCTCCCACCGGACTTCCCAGTGCACCTTTAGTTCTCGTTTGCATAATGAATATAATTTTTTTCTTTCCACTTTCCTTGTCGTGTTGATTTTGCATGTACTGGGTTAAACAACTTCCTCAGAGCATGACAGGGCGGGGATGTTTTAAGATGGAGGTCATCTTCTCCAGCATCCTCCTTTCACACGTCTCCTCAGCTGTGTCCAGTGGGCAGCTCAGAACCGAGCTAGCTTTGTTGACTAGCGTGTTCAGTCTCTTCCTGTCTCGGTCAGAGCTGCCTGCACCCCAACAGACCACAGCAGAGTGGATAACAGAGCCAACAACAGAGTGATAAAAGGATTTTAGCAGCTGGGATTAACTCTGAAGGACCTCAGCCTCCTCAGGAGGTGGAGGCAGCTTTGGCCCTTCTTATACAGCATCTGTGTTGTTGGACCAGTTCAGTTTGCTGTTGAGGTGAACACCCAAGCTTGTTGGTAATAAATACTATCATTACACATTTTTATTAGAAGAAGAAGGCATCCTGGACCACCTATTAATGGTTCAGAGAAGTGAAAAGAGGCAGAAGAAGGCGATGGACAGCATGTGTCAATCAAACGAAATATGATGGACCTAATATGATGGAGGAGATGCATTTCTGTAGATTACTTAGATAATCCTATATTTCACATTTGGCATATTTTTCTGCCCACTGTAGTGAAATTCTAGATACTAAATCACTGAGGAAAGAATTGGTGGCATTAGGATACATTGCATGTGTGAAAATGATGTTGTTTTAGCATCACGAGCTTTGCCGTTTTGCGAAATCTGTCCCTCCAGTGTGAGAGTAGCAGCTGAGTCCGGTGACCCAGCCAGGGAATAAAAATTGATAGAGACACTGACTTTTTATAGTGGTTTAGCTTTTTTTATTCAGCTCCAGTGTAAAGGTAAACATTGTTATCACATAATTCTGTAAATCCAGCAGGGTGAACTCTGATGAAGTCAGTAAGTTGATGAAATCAGTGACTACAGCATCAGGTAGTTCACTCTACCCTTTATGAATGCGACTCTCTGTGAGCTAAGTGAGCGGGGCTAGAACCAGTCAGGCTAAACAACTGCAGTCATGACTGTTGCCCTCTGTTCAATACTGCCATGATTCACTGTTGACGTCCACCATGCTGAGAGTTAAATTTCAAGTCCCCTGAGTCATCACACACTGGTGAAATTTGATCTTTGCATTCAACCTATCGCCTGGCAGAGCGGTGAGCTGCACACGCAGCTGCACTCGGGACCCGTTTAGTGGTTTAACCCCAATCCAACCCCTTAATGCTGAGTGTCAAGCAGAGAGGCATTGGGTCCCATTTTGGAAGTCTTCAGTGTGACCCGACCGTAGATTTGAACCCATGGTTCCCAGTCAGCTCCCTAGTTGGCATGCTGCCCCCGCGACCCGGACCCGGATAAGCGGAGAAAGACGAAGACGAAGACGAAGATTCCCAGTCAGGTGGTTCAGAATGCCTGTGCTCGGCTTCTGACCAAGTCCTCCAAACACACCCACATCACCCCGCTTCTCCTCCAGCTTCACTGGCTGCCAGTCATCTTCAGGGTTCATTTCAAGATCCTGGTTCTGGTCTATAGGGCCTTACATGGACAAGCACCATCTTACATTGGTGGTCTTCTTAGTCCCTACAGCACCAGCAGGTTCCTGAGGTCCAGTGATCAAAGCCTACTGGTTGTGCAGCACCAGGCTAAAGGTCAAAGGTGACAGATCATCTGCTGCTGTGGCCCCCAGACTCTGGACCTCTCTCCCCCTGAGCCTGAGATCAGTGGACTCAGTGGTCTCCTTTAAAAAACAGCTGAAGACTCACTTGTTCAAAGTGGCTTTTGTATGACCTTCTTCATCCTCTCCTTGTTCTGCTCTCCCCACCTATTCCACCTTCCTCAGGATCCACTGATTTCCCTCTTTCCTATTCTCTCTCTCTTTCTTTAACATTTTTAATCACAATTGTCTATTTTTTGCTCATTTTAAATATATTTTTGACCATTTTCTAAATTCTTTTTTATTTTTTTACATTTTTTGTTTTTTGTGAAGCGCCTCGTGATTTTTATCTTGAGTGGCGCTATAGAAAAGATACTTTCTTCTTCTTCTTCTTCAGTCTCAAGGCAGACACTCATACCACTGGGCCACTGAGCTGGTGGGCCCACTTGATCAGGTGACGTAGGTGTAAAGGGTCAGTCGGGGTTATTAGTAACTAACAACCTGTGAAAAGTAGTAGTCAGCTAGCCTGTTACCCACTTCTGATCATATGTGATGGCTTGTTTTATTCAGCATGTTTTGCTGGTTGACCACGGCATAACGTTTTCACGGCTGCAGCCTCACTCTCTTTCTCCTCCGATGGGACACCAGAAAAGCTTTTAAAAATGAAAAGTGATTGAATGGCATTAAAGATGATTAAAATGTATTTATGTAGGGAATTCTGTTGAATTAATCCTTTAAAAAGTGTAACTGTTTTCTCTCTGCCACCTGCTCTCCTTTTCTTCCTAATACCATTAATTCTTTCCTCAGGGCAGGACTTTTTCACTCGTCCGCTGCTCCAACACGCCGGCAAATACAGTTTGTCTGAGGAAAGCAAACACCACTTAGACCTTTAACGCTACTAATTCAGTCACCTACAGGGAGTCAAAGGTAATGTTAAGGCTCCTGTCAGGCCAGCCTCAGCAGCCCTTGTGAACCGAACACTGGCGCCATCATGTGGTCACAAAAGCTCTTTCACAATTTATTGTTCAGTCCTTTTTTATTTTATTCCTTCAAAACGAAATCAATTAAAAAACAACAGAACAACCAAAGCAACAAAAAACAAACTGAATAAAAAGAAGCAGATAGAAGAAAATATCGTATTTGATCAAATCAGCAACATTACATTCATATTCAACCTTTCAGGTTCATTTGATCACCTTTGGGATCTGGATATTTGACGTAACATTTTACTTTATGTAATTCTCAGAAGGAAAATGGAAATTTTACCTTTAATATAACCTATAAACGACTTCCATCAAACGCGACTCCTAATAATTTTAGCCTTTTGATCTCCATCCCATCCGTTTTTATTGATGCAAGATTCAGAGACAATCTGTTATTTTCAAACCAGTTTAACCCTCTCAGGCTCAAAGTAAGTTTTTACAAAAGGACAAACAACTGAGTCCTTCAGGGGTGCTTCTGGGTTAAAAAATGCTCATGAAATACGTATGTAGAGTAACCAGGTAGGTAGGTTTTAACATTGCACATCTGCAACGCCTGCCTCCAGAGGGTTAACTCTTATCAGCTCATTAGTCATCACTCCAGTCATTTCATTTATATCTGATCCTGAATAAAACATCAGCAAATGGAAGCAGAGCTAATAATAATAATAACAATAATTCATTTTATTTATAATGCGCTTTACATTACAGAAGTAATCTCAAAATGCTACGTTTACTCGCTCATTAATGAAATTGATGTAAAATTACTTTTTCCAGTAATCTACACACTTTAGAAACATTACATAATTAAACAAAAATAAAATCTTAACACAATAATTGTAAACTTTACTTGTGTGTGCGTGCGTGTGTGTGTGTGTGCGCGCGTGTGTGTGTGTGTGTGTGTGCGTGTGTGTGTGTGTGTGCGTGCGTGTGTGTGTGCGTGCGTGTATGTGTGTGTGTGTGTGTGTGTGTGTGTGTGTGCGCGCGTGTGTGTGTGTGTGTGCGTGTGTGTGTGTGCGTGTGTGTGTGCGTGCGTGTATGTGTGTGTGTGTGTGTGTGTGTGTGTGTGTGTGTGTGTGTGTGTGCGCGCGCGTGTGTGTGTGTGTGTGTGTGTGCGTGCGTGTATGTGTGTGTGTGTGTGTGTGTGTGTGTGTGTGTGTGTGTGTGTGTGTGTGTGTGTGTGTGTGTTGACGGGGGGCATTAGTCTTTTAGCGCCTCGTCATCTTTGGTGATGGGAAATTCCAATGATGTCCTGTAACGAGTGGGAACCGTATGCTCCTTGTTGATTGGTTGCTTGTTCACCGGGGCATGGATTCGGAGCTGCCCATCGTCCATCAGGCAACAGGAGAGCCTGCACAGATCCAGGTGAGCAGGCAGGTTTATATTCTGCACAAAGCTCATCTGAGCTGAAGCTGAAGAGGAGCAAGAAGCAGAAGAGGAGGAGGAGGAGCAGGACTGGATTTCCTCCTCTCCGGTTTGCTTAATGGCCGTTATCGCCAGGCTCCGCCCATCCAGTTTGACAGTGATGTCATTGGGAGCATAACCGCGAGCGTCTAAAGTGACCAGGAGATCCACCTTTTTGTCGCTGGTGTCCTCATGCTGCTCTGTGCTGTCCGAGTCCAGCTCTCTGTCATCACTCTGCCTGGAAGAATCACAGAAATGGGTCAGAATCAGATCCTGATGCTCTGAGGTCAGAAAAGATCGAACATATTTTCACGTATACTGTGGGTCAGAGCTGAGATTTGGAACGTACCTGGCTAATGTAGAGTGCATGACAGAAAACGGGTTAAATGAGAGCAGCTGGGGGCCATGGAAGAGTTCTCTGCAGAGACTTTCAGCCATCTTGGCTCTTTGGTTGAAGAAGTTCTTCTGTACAGAAGAAAGAGCTTCATGGTGCAGCGGCCACAGCAGTTGCTCCTGGCTGAGGAGAGAGTCCACGTCAAACAGGTTACTCAGAGCTGCAAACCGGGACACCATGACCGCACTGCCAAACAGCTCCTACGGTTTGTCTTCCTTTCCTCTGACTAGGAATCTTTAGCCTCCTCCGCTTCCTCAGACTGAATCCTCCTTTGAGACCCTGAGCGGCAGCGCCTTAAATACCTCCGCTGTGACTCCCTGCCTGTTATTTAAACCCCATGAGCTCACTGAGCCTGTCAGCATATGCCAGCGAGGTCAGGCGTGCCCTGTTCTGATCATCAAGACACTGGCCCTTGACTTATGGAGTTTGTGTTAACACCCAAAGATCAGCGCTGACCGTTACACTAAACCGACAAAGTCCACCGAGTAACAACCGATGTAGAAACGATCGCTTTGATGACATCAGAGGACTGCCAAGAGTTATGCAGCAGATCACTGTTTGAACTTGTTGTTGGTTTGAATATAGGACCTGTTTAAAGCAAATGAATGAATGGATGACCCTGTGGACTCACACCTATGTGTCCCCTAAACTCCAGCTCTGTGACAGATAAACTCAGATCTAAACCGAAACCAGAGCCGTCTTCAGCAGGAGCTCAGAAATAGAGCAGCAGAGCAAACGGCGCTTGTCGTGTCTCCGATTACAGTTTGATGTGTGGAGGATGAGCTCAGAGCGCTGATGCTCCTCTCTCTGTGGACACAGGTTTGTCTGAAGCTGCTGGCATTACAAGGAGTCTGCGTCATCTCTGTTTATACTCTTCTTGTCTAAACTGGTTTGAATGGGGCTGATTTACTTCTGACAGTTTAAGAAGTTTAATCAGTGTGTGTGTGTGTGTGTGTGTGTGTGTGTGTGTGTGTGGCTAATTAAACTTGTCATTTGTTTTAAGGACGACAAAGCAAAGAAGCGTTTTTATTAAGCTTAGAGGTGAAGAGTGAAGCTGTTTACACACAACCACAGAAGTTCTTCTGTGAAAAGTAGTTTTACATTCAGGGATTTACAGCTGACACTCTCTTTCTGGTCATTGATTTTATCACCAGTTTTATTATTACAGATGTTTTTGAACATGTTACATGAACAGAAAATGAAAAGATGGTAAGGAGACAAGATTATTTATAATACTTTAAACTTATTTACAGATTAAAACCAGTATGGACCAGTTATGTACGGTTAAAACAGGATTAACCTGAGTGACTCTTCCTGGATCATTTATTTAAACTGAGTGAGCAGGAAGTCTTTAACAGTGCAGCTGGATCTGCTGCAGGAGGATCCAGACGTGGATGGAGGGCTGGAGCAGACCCGTGGCTGGACGTTTCTGGTCAGAGGAACATCATACAGGACGGTCTGCAGAGAGCTTTGGGACGCTTCCTCTCACTGTCCACTCCATCGTCCATCTACAGGGCCTGCTGGGCTGGCTCAGACGACGGCTGTTACATCTCTGTGAATGACTTGCCTGTTAACAGTAGTGGTGGTCTGCTGGTACCTCCTGCAGGACAGAGCACCACTGACCTCCTCCACACACATCTTCCTCACGCTCATCCTCCAGACCCACAACTTCACCAGCACCGATGCAGATGTGCAGCACAGTGCATGCTGACCTGTAATAGATTAAAAAAATTGCTGTTTTTTAAAAAAAAAAAAAGAAAAACAAACATATAACCTGCAGTACACTGGTTCTGTTCAGTTTAAAGAAAAGCAGCAGGGAAAACTACAGAGAATTTACATTTTTAAGACAGATCTAATCATTATTAGGCTTAAGTTGAATAAACAAATGCACATTGAAAACACTTCAATGCTATTTTATTAAAAAGTCTGTTTTTTGAAAACGTTTTACCCTCATTTGATACAGAATAAGTTCTAAGGTCCAGTTTACATTAGAAAACATCCTACTGCATTCAACATTTATAATGCATTTGGTTTATATTAATTACCTACATGATAATACTCTGTAGTAATGTGTTGTGTATGTTTAACAAGTTCATTCTGTAGCTTAAAACATACATGAAACCATCTAAAGTTAACATGTAAGTCCTGAAAGCTTCTAGAATAAACAAAGTTACTTTACCTGAAAACGTTTGTGAACAAACGCTGCTGATGGACGTGAAGCTGCTGTAGCTCCTTAATATTCCTGCTCCATTTTCACTAGCTTTAGCATTTTTCCTTTGCGTGTAGCTTCCGCCACGGCTGTGACGGGACCTACGGGCCACCGTAGAGGTGAAGGCTAGACTGTACAAATTCAGAGCCGCTGACTTCCGCTTTTAGCGGTCTTCAAGGACCCAGTCTTGCTAGACCGGCGAGGACCCGTACTCATAAGCATCCTTCCTGTGGATTCGGACACACCCAGTAAATGCATTTTGTCCTCATGGGCTCCTGTAAAAGGAACCATGATGTCTAATGTGGTGCCGCCCAGAGACTTACACCAGCTCCCATGTACTTAAGACCAGATTTTTATGGTTAGATGTTACAAAGCCGTCCAGTATTTTTCAACAACTGGGCATCATTTCATTCTTTTTCAACAACATTTTGATGGATGTTTCCAGAAATTAATGGTAAAAACTACACATTGTCACTTTAATGTCGACCAAGGGTTTCCGCAGGGTCTTAAAGAGTCTTAAGAGCATTGAATTTAGGAATTTGGTCATAATAGCATAAATAAAGTGATGGAACCAATAATTGAGAACGCAGCGCAGCCTCGGGTAAAAATACTCTTACCACCTGACGTTTTCAGCTTCTGCACTACAGCAGCAATACAACACGGTAAACATAACACAGACCACACAGACCTCCAGCGGAGGAGAAATGCAGAAAAGCTCAGCAGACCACGAGAAAGGGTGACTGACGCCCAGGGACGGACTGGGTCTAAAAAAAAGTCCAGGGCTTTGACTAGGCCTGGCCCAAAGTAATCAGCGAGTGGAAACTTTGCAACAATAATGCTGCATTAAATGGAATATTTACATATATATGTATATATATATATATATATATATATAAATATATACATATATATATATATATATGTATATATATATATATATACATATATATATATATATATATATATATATATATACATATATATATATATATATATATATATATATGTATATATATATATATACATATATATACAGGGGTGGACTGGGACCAAAATTCGACCCTGGAATTTTTACGAATCGTCGGCCCTCAGTCGGCCCTCCCCATTTGGAGAGCGGTGGGGGTGGGGGGTGTTGCCGCCTGCAGACTTGTCTCTTGGCCGAATGTGAGATCTAATATGGACTGGGACTGTTCTCTTGCCTTCTCAGCCCCACCGTTTTCTTTCCTTTTTTTTACTTTCAGCTGTTTTGCATCGTTTCTTTCTTTCCAACGTCTTTGTCTCCTCTGTCACTTCTTCTCCTTACCTGGCGGCCACAGCCAGTGCAGCTGGCATCCAACCTAGAGGTACACTGCTGCCACCTACAGTACTGGAGTGTGTAACATATTAGTGTGTGGGGGGGGGGGGGGTGACAGTGTGCGTGAAGAGTAGCTGGCCGGCTCGTCGGATGTCTTGGAGTACCGGCCTTTCTGTGATTCTCCAAAATCCACAGATGGCTAGTCCGCCCCTGCTGACGCCCAGGTTTGGGTGCCAGAACTCTGGGCCTCTTTGAGACTGAGTGAAAACATTTGGTAGGTACCGATATCAGAATAAAAGTATTAAAATGTCCCAATGTGCGACCGAGGCTCACATGACTGAACCCAAGTCACGTTATGAGTGGAGGAGACGCGTCTCCTTTCAACAACACTTCTCTGCAGTTCGCAGATGAAATACTAAAAAATTCTGCGGCTAAATGCACCACCAGCAAGAAGATTTGTGCAGCCAAAATCAGGAATAGCAACAATTTAACAAAGCACCGAGTCGTGCAGGGCATCATCTTGAGAGCGGAAATATGAAAAGTCTTTGATTGCAAAAAAGTGAACCAGAGTCCATCTCCTTCCAGAACAGTGAAAGGGGGCCTGCCCGCCAGCACAAGAATGCAGCTATAGAGGCCCAAACGCAAGATCATATGTAACATTTGTGGGGATGCACACTTCTAATCAAGAGATCATTTTCTCTGGTGGAGAAGAATAGTTGGCTGCACGTACGTCAGAGTTTTAGCTGGCTAGGCAGATTGAGACATGCGCACACTAGGGCTGCACAGTTCTGGTTAAAATGAGAATCAGGATTTTGCTTAGAAGTGAGATCCCATTTCTCTCAAGATTTTTTTCCAGAATAAGTGTTTATTGCACTGATTACGTGCACATCAGCTTTATAACAGCTGTTGCTGAACATGAAAACAATAAATGTCTCTCGTCGTCTCTTAACCCTCTGGAGGCAGGTGTTAAAACCTACCTACCTGGTTACTCCACGTACGTATTTCATGAGCATTTTTAACTCAGAAGTACCCCTGAAGGACTTAGTTGTTCATCCTTTTATCAAAACTTATTTTGAGCCTGAGAGGGTTAAGTACACAACTTTTGAATAAGTTAAACGCTGATGATGAGAGAGGTAGGTAACAGGCATGTTTCTTAAAATGTAAACCACAGTTTTTAACAAAATATAACATTTAAAATGACAACATGATTGTTGTTGACCATGGCAGGACCAGAACGGAGAACACAGTCCTTTTTTATCTAGCCAGCTGCTTAAAATCGTTGTCATTTTGAATTGAGATCACGATTAATTGTGCAGCCCTAGCACGCACCCATGAGAAATGATTCAATGATTTTTGATAATTATTGATTTCTCTGCTAAACAATCACTAAACAGCCCCAGGAAAACAGTGCATGCCATGGTAAACACCTAAGTGGGTGTGGTGTGTGACAAAAGCATCATTCACGTCGTCGTCGTCTTCCTCCTCTTATCCGGGTCGCGGGGGCAGCATCCCAACTAGGGAGCTCCAGACCGTCCTCTCCCCGGCCACCTCCACCAGCTCCTCCGGCAGGACCCCAAGGCGTTCCCGGACCAGATTGGAGATGTAACCTCTCCAACGTGTCCTGGGTCGACCCGGGGGCCTCCTGCCGGCAGGACATGCCCGAAACACCTCCCCAGGGAGGCGTCCAGGAGGCATCCTGACCAGATGCCCAATCCACCTCAACTGACTCCTTTCGATCCGGAGGAGCAGCGGTTCTACTCCGAGTCCCTCCCGAATGTCCGAGCTCCTCACCCTATCTCTAAGGCTGAGCCCGGCCACCCTACGGAGGAAACTCATTTCGGCCGCTTGTATCCGTGATCTCGTTCTTTCGGTCATTACCCAAAGCTCATGACCATAGGTGAGGATTGGGACGTAGATCGACCAGTAAATCGAGAGCCTGGCTTTCTGGCTCAGCTCCCTCTTCACCACGACAGATCGGCTCAGCGTCCGCATCACTGCAGACGCTGAACCAATCCGCCTGTCGATCTCCTGATCCCTCCTACCCTCACTCGTGAATAAGACCCCGAGATACTTAAACTCCTCCACTTGAGGTAGGACCTCTCTCCCGACCCGGAGTTGGCAAGCAACCCTTTTTCGGTCGAGAACCATGTTCTCAGATTTGGAGGTGCTGATCCTCATCCCAGCAGCTTCTCACTCGGCCGCGAACCTACCCAGCAAGAGCTGAAGGTCAGAGCTGGATGAAGCTAGGAGGACCACACCATCCGCAAAAAGCAGAGACGAGATTCTCCTGCCACCAAACTCGACACACTCTACACCACGGCTGCGCCTGGAAA